ATCATCATCATCATATGTGTCGTCATCCTAATCAGCGTCACCATCATCAGTAACAGCATCATCTGCATCATCAGTAGCATCAACAGCATCATCAGCATCGGATACATCATCAGCAACATCAGCATCACCATCAACGTCGTCGTTGTCTTTCTCATCACCATCCTCAGCATCGTCCTCAAAACCATCATCGTTATAATCGCCGCTGTCATCACTACAACCCTCACAGGCCGCTCTCGTCCTCCCTTCTTCCTTCCGTTGCTCTCCCCCTTCGACCCTCCTGATCGTCCCTCCTCCTCCTCCTCCTCCTCCTCCTCCTCCTCCTCCTCCTCCTCCTCCTCCTCCCCCTCCTCCTCCTCCTCCTCCCCCTCCTCCTCCCTCCTCCTCCCTCCTCCTCCTCCTCCCCCTCCTCCCCTCCTGCTCCTCCTCCTCCTCCTCCTCCTCGCTCCTCCTCCTCCTCCTCCTCCCCCTCCTCCTCCTCCTCCTCCTCCTCCTCCTCCTCCTCCTCCTCCTCCTCCTCCTAGTCGCTGGGACGCAGCCACCGCAAACGCGCGCTCATGCTGGCGAGCGCGCGCTCGGGGCGGGCCAACCTCCGCGGGGGGGAAGCCCTCCCAAGGGCCACGACTTTGACGGGGGGGGTCCCAGACATCCAACGCCTTGGCAAAACAAAGCAAAACCTAAAATCAGCCGACGCCGTCGGCCTGTGTGAAAGGTTTTTCCGTTTGAGTCGTCGTCGTCGTTGTCGTCGTCGTCATCGTCGCTGTCACCGCTCCCCGCTGCCCCTGTCCATGGGCCCTCCTCGTCAAACGTCCCAGCCAAAGAGAATCGAGCAACGTCATAATCGAGTCGAAGGGAAGCCGCTCACCTTTGATCCCTTCCCCGCCGAGGGGGGAAGGGGAGTCGCAGGGGGGTCGCAGGGGAGGGCTCCCAGGGTGGAGGTAGGAGGGCGTCCCGGGTGATGTGGCCCCCCCAGCGGGGAAGCACCCCTCCCTGGGAGAAGCGTTCCCGTTCGGTTCGCTGCCTCCCAGACACCTCGGGCTCCCCCTCCCGGGTCGGCGGCACCAGCCGTAAGACCTTCATAATATTGCAAGCTGTTGGTTTCCAGGGGCCTTTCTGGTCGCCGGGACCGTCAACAAAACAGCGAGTGGAAGACTCACCCCAGGGGAAGGGGTCGAGACTTCCTGGGCCCGTGCTCTGACTTTCTGACCAATAAATCGCATGCCAGGGTGGAACAGGATCGATCTGCGACCACTGAAGAGAAGAACCCGACCCGGGCGGGTCCGATCGAGGCGGGGATATCGGAAACCCCATGTGGGTGTCAGAACTGGCTGCAGAAAAACGCGCCTGCGTTGCAGACCCGCGTCCTGCAAGGGTCGGGCTCACGCTTGGTTGCCTCATCGAGGAGAGCGAAGAGATGGAGGTGTTTGAACATATTCCGCCTTTCCCGGTTGCCTCCAGAAGCCTCAGGCCTCTGGGGACTTCCCGAGACCTCCGGACACCTCCGCAGACCAGCGGGGACCTACAGTGGAAGCCCATGCCAAGAAACACCCTGCTTGCCTCCAGGGTGCCCTGGGTTTCTTTGGTTTCGAGGGTTTTGCTGTGGAAGGCGTGACGCTCCGGTGCCAAAAGTCCATGGACGTCCTGGGGTCTCACGGTTGGGCTTCTTGTGGAAGCTTTCTTGTGGTCGGGCCTCCACTGCAGGCGAGATCCCCCAAAGTTCCAGATCTCAAGGAGCGAACCTCGGGGTACTTCGACTACGTCTGGCCTCTGCGGGCTTCCAGGAGCTCCCTCGTCGTCGCATACACATAGAGTCGGTGCTCAAAACGTGGGTCAGACCGTGCCCCCGAGGTCAGCGGATCGATATTTGGTTCCCCTCCGCCTCATGCCTCCTTTCGCCCCTCGCTCGCCATCCTCCCCGCCCCACCTCGCTCCCGCCTTCCCTCGCTTTTTTCCTCCTCGCGCTATGTGTCCCAGCTCGTGCTTCCACGTGAACACACCCTCCTCGTCGAACCACCAGACGCATCGGTAATCAGCGCGGGCTGGACGTTTCGCCTGAGACCCCCCACCGCGAGTCATCAGAAAGCTTGAAACGACCGACTGTGCCACAGATGGAGCACACGTCATGCTCGAATGTGGTTCCCGCTGTGGCGCCATGCACGTTCGCCTCAGAGGCTTCCAACAGCTGCACAGATGGAGGGCCCGCGGTTTCAAAACGCGGTTCTCGCTTCGGCGCTAGGCACATTCGCCTTGCAAATTCGAAAAAATATGTTCAAAACGTAGCCACCACCATTGGCGCAGCGCACACTTGTTTCAAAAGCTTCGAATCGCTACGCGGAAGGCGGGCAGGCTCAACGTAAATATGTTGGGACTAATACGCGGATGGACCACACATTGATTTCAACATCGGCCATCCGCTCGATCGTTCGACATTGTTTATGATTACGGTCAAGTGACTCAGACGAATCCGACAGCTACGGAGATGGAAGGCAACATATCATCAGAAGATGGTTGCACATGAGACATCCTTGAATACTTATCCGCCAGAATGTAAGCCTCTGAAGCTCCGCCAGCTACATGGGTGGAGGGCAAACAATAAGAACACATAGCATCACCCCAGCGTCACGCACATGCGCAGGTGGCAAACAAAACATGAAATATCAACAAAACAAATATCCCGGCAAAGCAACCTAACAGCGATGTGTAGAAGCATATCTGAAAGCATTCCCCTTAAGATTCAGATGAAAATCCAGTTGTCGAATTCTGCTGTTCTCGCAGTCGTAGTCGCATTCGCGATGACAGTCGCAGCGGCAACGGCAGTCGCAGTCACAGCCTCAGCCTCAGCCTGCCTCCTCCTCTTCCTCCTCCTCTTTCTCCTGCTCCTCCTCCTCCTCCTCCTCTTCCTCCTGCTCGTCCTCGTTCTCGTCCTCCTCGTCTTGCTCGTCCTCCTCCTCCTGGTGCTCTCTCCTCCTCCTCCTCCTCCTCCTCCTCCTCCTCCTCCTCCTCCTCCTCCTGGTGGTCCTCGTTCTCCTCCTCCTGGTGCTCTCCCCCCCCCTCCTCCTCCTCGTCCTCCTCCTCCTCCTCCTCCTCGTCCTCCTCCTCCTCTTCCTCCTCCTCCTCCTCCTGGTAGTCCTCCCCCTCCCCTCCTCCTCCTCCTCCTCCTCTTCCTGGTCGTCCTCGTTCTCGTCCTCCTCGTCTTGCTCGTCCTCCTCCTCCTGGTGTTCTCTCCTCCTCCTCCTCCTCCTCCTCCTCCTCCTCCTCCTCCTCCTCCTGGTGGTCCTCGTTCTCCTCCTCCTGGTACTCTCCCCCCCCTCTCCTCCTCCTCCTCGTCCTCGTCCTCCTCCTCCTCCTCCTCCTCCTCCTCCTCCTCCTCCTCCTGGTACTCCTCCCCCTCCCCTCCTCCTCCTCCTCCTCCTCTTCCTGGTCGTCCTCCTCCTCCTGGTCGTCCTCCTCCTCCTGCTCGTCCTCCTCCTCCTCCTGCTCGTCCTTCTTCTCCTGCTCCTCCTGCTCCTCGTCCTGCTCCTGCTCGTCCTCGTCCTCCTGGTCTTGCTCGTCCTCCTCCTCGTCGTGCTCTTGCCCCTGCTGAAAATGTGGCCCAGGAATGGGAGTTCTGGGAAGTCGAAGAGCACGAAGTTGCCTACAGTTGGCTACGGGCATTCAAAATGTGGCCCGGGATTGGAGTTCTGGGAACTCGAAGAGCACGAAGTGGCCTACAGTTGGGTCCGGCTATTCAAAATGTGGCCCGGGAATGGAGTTCTGGGAACTCGAAGACCAGGAAGTGGCCTACAGTTGGCTCCGGGCATCCAAAATGTGGCCCGGGAATGGAGTTCTGGGAACTAGAAGAGCACGAAGTGTGTGACTGTTGCATCCGGCCCTCCAAATGTGGCCCGGGAATGGCGTTCTGGGAACTCGAAGAGCACGAAGTGTGTGACTGTTGCATCCGGTTATTCTAAATGTGGCCCGGGAATGGCGTTCTGGGATCTCGAAGAGCACGAAGTGTGTGACTGTTGCATCCGGTTATTCAGAATGAGCCTGGGAATGGAGTTCTGGGAACTCGAAGAGCACGAAGTGTGTGACTGTTGGTGAAAAACGAGGTGGACTCAACCCGCCCGGCAACTCCCAACACCTGCCCGGACCCCCCTGTGGAGTGATCTGTGAGCTGTTTTTAGCCCACTAGAAACCTATCAGTCTTCGCTGTTAGGTAACAAACAACAAGAATAAAAAAGGTCGAACGGGTCGCGTGCACAAGATTGGCACAGCCAGAAAGATATACATGACCGCCGATGCACAAATCAAAGCACAGTGGCACCACTACGCAGACCCACGGGACTCTCACTGTCTCACTGTCCATTGAGCGCTCGCGAAGGCGACGAGGAGTACATGCTAATTCGCGCTGGTACATAACACAGGAACTTGGGACGGAAGGGCTGGCTGCAGCAAGGGTGGTGTGTGGCGTATGCTGGCCCTTCTTATACACCCCTCCTCCAGGTGCGACGCCGTCACGCGCAACCCCCTTGACAGGCTGGGCAACGCGAGTCAGATGCCGAGCAACTCCACGATGATAGCGTGCAACAACACCACGCCCTGGCGCTGGTTCAGTCCTCCCTCTCCTGCTCTTCCTCCTCCTTCTCCTCCTCCTCGCTCCTCCTCTTCCTCCTCCTCCTCCTCCTCCTCCTCCTCCTCCTCCTCCTCCACCTCCTCCTCCTCCTCCTCGCTCCTCCTCCTCCTCCTCCTCCTCCTCCTCGCTCCTCCTCCTCCTCGCTCCTCCTCGCTCCTCCTCCTCGCTCCTCCGCCTCCTCGCTCCTCCTCCTCGCTCCTCCTCGCTCCTCCTCGCTCCTCCTCCTCCTCCTCCTCCTCCTCCTCCTCCTCCTCCTCCTCCTCCTCCTCCTCCTCCTCCTCCTCCTCCTCCATCGCCGTCGCCTCCAGCTCTCTTCGTCCCTCTCCTGCCTCCCTCTGTCCCCCTCCCGCCGGAACCTCGGGGGCGGGCGGTTGCGGCGTCCAGCCACCCGGACGAGCGGGGACGGGAGCAGCGTGATGGTCGCCTGCGGTCGCGCAGGAGAGGGAAGTGAAGGGACCCTGGGACACACAAATAAATACACACAAATAACAGGATCCCCCATATTTTCTCATATTTTGCGTTTTTTGTCTTCCCCCACACTTCCCATGTTTTCCCATATTTTCTGGGGAATCGACGAAGGTAATTGTGTCTGTGTGTTTTTGTTCCCTCCTGAGGAAGGGCCAGCAGAGGGAGCGGGGCAGGGCAAGACGGCAAAAAGCAGGCACGAGCAGAAACTGTACCGGGACGGAGGCCCCAAGCAACAGCGCTGCACGAGGAGGCGCACGGCGAGCCAACGTCGACGTGCGCGGCACAGGCACGGGCACGGCACGCGGGCACGGAACCGCACGTCCACGGCACGGGCACGGCATGGCCACGGCACGGGCACGGCACGGCATGACCACGACCCTGGTGAGAACGACGACGACGTCCACCAGGACCACGACCACGAGCACGACCACGACGCCGACAACGACCACGACCACGACCACGGCCACGGCCACGGTTCCGACGAAAACGCCGGCCACGACCTCGAGCACGACACCGAGACCACGCCGACGACGACCACCACCACCAACACCACGACCGCCACGACCACGACGACCACGACCACGACCACGACCACGACCACGACCACGACCACCACCACGACCACGACCCCCCCGGCATCGATGACGACTGCGAGGCCGCCACGGGCGCGCGCGCGCGCGCGGCCGCCGAGACGGCGCCTCGGCCGACTCGCTGGGCCCCAGGACGCCCGAGCGGGGGGCGACGAGGCACGCCTGGCGAGCCAGACGCCCAGACGACGACAGCCAACGCGGTGCAAAGAGGACGCTGCCAATTTCTGTCCGCTGTCGGTCTTTGGGCCTCGGGGCGCGCCTCCAAGCATCCAGCACATGGATAGGGGGCCACATGCGAACCCTACCCCTACCCCCCACGATTTCTGAGGGGGAGGGTGGGGTTCACTTCGTTCGAGAGCTCCCGAGCGAAGTGAACCCCACCCTCCCCCACCGAAATGGTGGGGGGTAGGGGTAGGGTTCGCATGTGGCCCCCTAATGGAGCAAGATGCAGGGCGGGAGAGTCTTCGCCGATGTTTCGCCCTCCTGGGCGCCCTCGCCGGGCCTCCGTGGACCGCCAAAAACCGCGCACGAGGAAGACCTGGCCCAGGGAAACAGGGTCGGGACTTCTGGGGACCCCGTATTGGAAAAATCGGAACGTCGGATTATTAAGAACGACGACGACGACGACGACGACGACGACGACGACGACGACGACGGACGACGATGACGACGATGACGACGACGACAGACCACGACGACGACGAAGACGACGACGACGACGACGGACGACGACGACGACGACGACAGACGACGACAGACGACGACAGACGACGACGACGACGACGGACGGCGACGACGTCGT